TCATTTACAAAGCATGATTTGAAAAGCAACAGAGGATTGACTCAATTTTTCCCTGCTAGTGCAAAACAATAACAAAACTAGCTGCAGATGTGCAGATATTGGGTACCATCCAGCACTCAGCACGCATATGCACATCCAACTGAAATCCATGGATATAAAACAAATGACCATAATCAGAGAGCACAGGCTTCTTGATGGGCGATTGCTTAAATTACATATATGTTCCTCTTCAAAATATTCTCATCAATTCATTCCCCAAAGAAAAAGGAAAAACAATGATTGGAAATTTTTACCAGATGTCTTAGTCTCCATCCATTTCCTTCAAATAAAAGGATCATGCCTTACTTTATGGAGTGGGGGAGAACAAATCAATATTTTTAGGTCATGGAAATCATTGAAACAAAGATATTTACTGCTGTTGCAAGTAATGAAGCAGCCTGTCAAAACTGTATCAGCGAAGAGTTGGATAATAAATATATTATAAAACAGATATAATGACAGGTATTCCCACTACAGGGTAAACATGAACTATGGCAATTTTTTTCTCGATTCTGCAGCTTCTGTAGCTTGCTCTGAAGTCTTGTTGGTCCAGTGATGCACTATGCAATGCAAGAACTGAAACTCATTTCATAATATTCTGAATTCACAATAATTTATACTACATATTTATTTCAAGACACTGTAAATATGCTAATCTATATTTGCAAGCACATAATTTTATTTTTTATTATTATTAGTGTAGACAACTTGCAAACCATAACAAAGGCCCCCAGGCAGGAGTGAAATGCTACCAGTTTGGCCAAACCAGTAGTAAAAATGCTACCACTTTCCCTGAACCAGGAGTAAAATAAATGCTTCCGGTTCAGGTGAACTGATTTTTCCAACAATCAGCTGTGACACACGATTTATACTAGCTAGAAAACAGGATTTCAGGGGCTCTCACCCATCTGCCCAGGTGTCATTTTGATGCTCTTCATGTGCATGCATGCTTACATTGCTACCGAACCAGTAGCAAAGGTAAGTGGATTTCACCCCTGCCCCCAGGCCCCAAAAGTGTCCTTTATCATTCAAATAGTATTAATGAAGTAATCCTGGCAATGGCTGGATTTGTATCTTACTGATAGTTACAGTTGTTAACAAAGACATAAAGGTTTTTTGTATCAGAATCTATTACACTGTTTTCTGGAAATCAGTGTTATCAATATATTTCTGGCAACAGCCTGCATTTTCAAATCTGTGATATAGCATATAAACAAATTCTATAATATTCAGAGCCACATGTTCTTTGCTGTACAATCAATAGCCATTTCCGTATAGAAAATAAATAAAAGTAATTTTATTTGGGAGAATAAGAATGTTTCCAATGGCTTAAAAATAGGAACTCAACACTTTAATGTTTATCCCTCATTTTAATTTTTTTGTATACAATATTAAGGATATTATGATTTCCAGTATTGGGATCACTATCTAGAAAAGAATTGTTATGTATGCCAGGGGACAGTGTGTTATTAATATCTTTTTGGCCCAATGAAAGTTCATGTAGTTTGAAAAGACTGTAGTCTTGGAAAAAAATTGTCAACATTCTTTTTCAGTTGATTCATGAAAGTTAGTTCTTTTTGGACTAAGAATGATTTTTCTATTATTCTGTTACAACGTAGTAACAGTCTTATCCCCTTAAAAGGGGGACTTTGATTTATAAAGCTCAAACCTGAGAATTTAAGACAGTGAGTAGGGAGTGGACTGCCAAATCCCAGAGCCATGAACTGTACTTCTCATACTCTATTTAACCCAGAAGTCACAGAAAAAATAAAATCTATCTGCATCTTTCCCATCTTTACATCTGTATGCTGCATTCATTGTGGTAAAAGAGGTAAATGGCCAGCAGAAACAGAAATACCACAAAGCAAAATTGGACCATTGCAGAAGTACTTCCTCGTTACCTAACATAGAGATCTGCTGAAAATGTCACAGAATACTAACCTAATTTCAAATTTTTCTTGTTTTTGTTTTACTCCTTCCCTAATCAAGTGGAAGAAAATTTGTTATCACCTTTATTTCAGCACATGGTTTGGATAGAAAGTGACAAGGCAGAATGGCATATTTTAAAAGAAATCTACCATCTGGGTGTCTTTGCAAGATCAGCAAGATTGAGATTGTTTTGATGAAATATGAAGCAATGCAGTTATAATCCTGACATTTGCAAACAAACGGCTTTTGTAATAACCTTAATCCAGTTGTATTAGATTTATGGAAATGTACCTAGGTTTTAATATACCATGTCCAGACCATTAAGTCACTTTTTAGAAAAAGAATATAATAATACAAACTCATATTTGCAGACAAACCATTTGTCTCACTATTTATCTTTCTGTGATGATAGATATTGTACTTTGCATTTATTAGAAACATTTACAGTGTCAAGGCTAATGTTACGGTATATTGCCTTTATTTGCCCGTATATTTATTTCACAAAATTAGATTTTTTTTTTTAATTTAAAGTACGGATTGTCTCAAAGAATGCAAAGCATCTCCAAAATACTATAAGGCAAATTCATATGTTCTCCAGTGACAACTTTCAAACATCTTTATTGTGGCCTTTATATTTCTTTTCAAACTGGACAATTCTATGGAAAGGATCCGCCATCATTTTGTGAGACTCTGGACCAGTGGTGGGTTTCAAAATTTTTTGGAATCTACTCTGTGAGTGTGGCCTCCTTTGTGGGAGTGGCTTACTGGCCATGTGACCTGGTGGGAATGGCTTGCCAACCATGTGTTCTCTCTCTCTCTCTCTCTCTCTCTCTCCTTCCTTTTGTCTCTCTGTCCCTTTTTTCTTTTTTTCTTTCATCTTTCTTTCACTCTTTTTCTTTCTTTTTTCTTTTTTTATTTATTTATTTCTTCCTTTCTTTCTCTTTCTCTCTCTCTCTGTGTGTGTGTGTGTGTGTGTGTGTGTGTGTGTGTGTGTGTGTGTGTGTGTGTGTGTGTAGCAGTGGTGGGTTTCAAATTTTTTTGGAACCTCTTCTGTAGGTGTGGCCTGCTTTCCGGGTCCACTGGTGGAACCTCTTCTAACCGGTTTGGTAGAACAGGTTCTACCGAATAGGTGCGAACTGGTAGGAACCCACCTCTGCTCTGGACCATGTTTGTGTTGGGTTTTTCATGACAGGATAGTTTTAAATGTGAATTGATTGTTTTTTACCTTGGCTATATTTAGTTTTGCTTTTGCTTGCTTTTAGATATTGTTAACTGCCCACAGTGCCAATTGGGCAGATGGACTTATACATTGAAGAATAAATATGTTGAATTTTGAGATGAATTTCCTGTTTGTTTCATTGAATCCTAATCTTATAAAGAGCTTGTGGCAGGAAGAGGGTTGGTTTTATGATCCTATTTTTTTAAATTTATCTATGCAATATAGGATTATCTACGGTACTCACTTGTATTTATTCTTGCAAAAGAGACATAAAACAATATTACACAATGAAGTATTTCTAAACAAATGAAGAACTTTTCTATCTCCAGTTGAAAAAGTCTACAACCTGATCCCGTTCATCACTGTAGTCTACTTTTCATAGTACAAAAATGACAAATAAATATGATGGGTGATGATTGCTTGTGAAAATTTGCTGCCATTTATTTGCATGCAGTTTACTAGTTGCCTATAGTACAAAAAATTAGCTTTCCGACACCTAGAAAAACAGAACTCTACATGCATAAATCTGTGTAGAAATAAAATTATCTATTTGAACTCATTTATCAAAAGGTTATGATGTGCATACAATTTGTAATGGTAATGCCATGATTATGAAATATGAGATAGTTAATTATTTTTTTTGAGGAACAATTTTTTGTAAAAACAGTCTGCAGTATCAATATTTCCAACTCTCTTTGCCAAGGGACCTTGATTTGCTCTTACAGTACTGGGAAATAATTTTTTCCCATAATTCAAACCAGCCTCTTGTACTTTCTTGAAGAGTAAAGCTGTAATTTTATCTGTCATTCATTTCTGTACAACATGATAGTTGTGAATCAGTAATAATGAAATCTAAAAGGCAAAAGACAACCTCAGAAGCAAAGAAGGAGGGACACATTATGGTGCTTTGCTACATTTCCATTCTTATGTCGAACAGAACACAATAAATGTTTTATTTAAGCAATATTAAACTAACTAGAATTCATTATTAGTGAGAATTAACATTTTGCTGCAATAATATTGAGGTTTATGAATGAATGCTAAGCTAATTGATCATTCAAGCACATTTGTTATATGCTGGAACTGCAAGTTACTACTACGATAGGAACATACAGCAGCCCAGCAAATGTTCTGTCGCATGTCTCATTTATTAATTGGTCAACTTACAGAATAAAATGCGAGAATTTCATTGGATTATCTGGCAGAGGTGAATTGTGAATGAACTATGAGCTTCGGCCGCCAGAAAGAAGAGATGATTGGCAATGCCCTACAGTATTTGAAATCCTTATTTAAATGAAGACAACTTCATTTGAAAAAATGTCCCCCAAAAGAATAAAGACTATAGAAAGAGGATTTACTTTACCCTCTTTAGTTTATATAATCTTGGCTACTTTTTTAAAAATGAATAATAACCTCCACTTGATGGCTGATTCAGTTTGTACATTTCCGGTTCTTCCTGGTTTTCTGCTTCTTTCTACTCTCACATAGCTCTTTTTCCTTCCTTTCCCTTTTCAAGCAGTGACACTTTTCCTGCTTCTTTTTTAAAGGCACATATGTCTCTGAGCATGGAAAACTTTAAACAACTTCAGTAGATCAAAGCTTTACATTGAAGGGAAGAAAACATGACATTTCAGAACATTTGAAATCTTTGGATGAACTAGAAATCAATATAATATATTCAGGGTAACAGTTCTGAAGAGAGGTAGAAAAGACACTCAATAGACTGCAAGGGAAAAATGCTTATGAAAAAAGAACAACTTTATTCCAGTATTTAACATTAGTGAGCTTTCTGTAAATGTATCAGGTTACAAACAGAAAGCCAAATCACAAAAGCCATTTTCCCTTATGCGTACATCACACCTCATTCTATGATTTCCATTAGAAATATCCATAATTAGTTAAAATGTAACTTTGGAGAAATCAAAGCACAATTTTAATAAATTTCATTAAATACTGGTGTTTAATATTTTGATGGTAAGCTTGCCATATTTATTATTGTTAACCTCTCTGACCTTACTGAAATTGTTGTTGAATGTCTTTTTTTCATATTCAACTAAACAGTTGATTCAACAAAATGTTCATTGAGTTATTAAATACAGGTATTCCTTAAGTTATGAGAGTTTACTTAGTGATGATTCAAAATTATGGCGATGACCACCCCCCAAAAAAGTATTTATGATCCAATCTGGAAGTTACGTATGTTACAGTGGTCATTCATCCTTATGACTGACTATAGAGATGGTAGTACATGTCCCCTGCCTATTTTCCCCCCATCCTGCCCCATTGCTTTTTTGCCATGAGGCCAGTGTCCCTGCAGGTCTCATTTGGTTCTGACCTGGGTAGTGCCTCAGATGCCTTTTCCTTGTTACTGGGTGGCTGGTTTGAGTGAGCAGTTTCATGGATTGGGGCGCAAAGGCAGCAGCAGCCAATCAGTGCAGACCTTATTTGTGTCATCAGGCTTGCAGAGCTGGCGAAGCTGCTTTTCTTAGTTCTCTCATTATTATAGCTTCACCAGTGTCTGACTAAAGATGGTCACTGTTTCTGCCACATAGATCTGGAAATCTGAAGATCTTTGAAAAATAAGTTAGGGATCAGACATGGAGTAGTGAGGAGCAATTGGGATCTGGGAGGCTAGCAAACAAGCCCGGTGCCTAGGGGCAAGATGCGGGGGCAAGATGGGGGGGAGCATGAGATATCACAGTAAGTTGGGAGAGACTTGATTCAGAAGCAAGTGGCTTGTTCCAGCACTAGGTCCCCCATGGTCTTCCCCCCTGATACCTCATGTGCACTTAACAACCTGCACATTCAATTAACGAATGCATTTAATTTAACGTAATTCAATTAATGAATCCTTGGGTTACAAATGCAATTGGCAGGCTCTATTACATTCATAACTCAAGGATTACCTGTATGTCTAATCAAGTCAGTGTCAGCCATTAGCAATAACAAAGCCAGACTTTTTCTAGATGACTTTTTTGCTTAAATTTTCATTTTTGTACTTGCACCAAATCTCTTTGCAGCATCACCTAGTACTTTCCAGTCTACTGTACATGCTACATAGATTGCTTAAAGTACTTCCTAATCATGCATTTCAAGGCTAGCATAAGTAGGAAACTTCCAAATAATTTGCAATGGGGGGGGGGAGAGAGACATGTACAAGTGCAATATAAAGTGGCTTCTAAAGTACCGACTAGGTGTTTTAATTTAGATTGAAGCTGAAAAGAATTAGGCTAGCATTAGTTACTTTGTGCTCAACAGTAAGAATGGAATTAATGTCAGTGTAAATGTAAGACCAAAGCTTTCTCTGCAGTTAAATTTTCAGTCAAAAACTCTGCATCCAATTACATTTTGAAACCAATTGTCCATATTTCAGATTTTTCACTAAAAGCAGTAAAGCTTATACTCATGGTTTCTATACTACATCTATGAAAACTATTTTATATATGTGTGATTGTTAAGAAGAAGGTAAAACACCTTCAAGAATTTGTTATCTATGTAGGACTGAACCTATGTAGCTAATAGTGAACAATTACAAGATATTTGATCAAATAACAATGAAATTCCACAAACAACTAAAAGTAGGCATTTAAAACATCTGACAGTGCACCCCTACAAGCAAGTTCTTTAAACAGAACTTTAAAATTATTTCACTTTAAAAAAAACAATCTCTTCTAAAATAGCCTGTAAATATTTATGTAAACTTTCTGTATTCCTCAAAAAGGATTCACAAAGCTACCAAAATGCATTCCCAAAATTAGTTTCAATTACGTCCTGTCCTCGTTATGCATTAATCTTAGATGCCAACACACAACCAAACTAAATGCTTATTTAGTGGCATAAAAAGATGGATATCAAAAATGTTGTTGCAGATTCAGGTGACAAATGATGGATGGTGAACAGCGCTTGTCTTCTCATCTCATTTCTACTTAGCAATCCTGAGGTTGACAAATAGGCAGCTGGGCATAAAAGATGAGTCATATGATACAGTTGGCTCAGCATCTGCTTAGCAGAATGTCTAGTGGTGTTGTGAAGATGCAGAGAGAAGGAGAGAGAGACAGAAAGAGAGAGAGAGGGAGGGAGGAAGGGAGGGAGGGAGAGGGGGAGAGAGAGACGGAAAAGGTGTGCCGTATCCCTTTCTCAAAGATAGCAACTCTTAATGCTGATTCTTTGCAAGTTCCATTTGTACTTCAAAACCATAAAGCCTCCTTAGTTTTGTCCTGATGTTGGGTACCTGCTTCAAAAGAAAAAGGAAAGGATGCATCAATGGAAAATGTAATACAATTAATAGACATGATTTTAATATATATATACAAGGTACTTACTTCAGTTTTCCAAGAAAAATTGCTGTGATTTTTAAAAAAAATGATAGTTACTAAAATTCTTTGGCATGAACTTTATCTCTCTTTATAAATAATAAGTGCCTAAAAGATGCTGGTGCTTTCTTTCAGAAATTACAATTCAGCATGATAGGAATACGACACAGTGAATCTTAAATGTATGTTATCTTAAATTTATTCTCCCAATTCTTAGCAAGCTTGCAAAGTGATTCCCAGCTTTTTCTGCTTTTGTACTTAGAATAACAGCACTATAGTATTAAACTCAAAACCTACAATGTGCTTAATCTTAGCCATATTTTGAGATTTGTTGCTTTAGGCATAATTATGACTAACAACAGTTAATATATGGTAATTCATGTAAAATAAAGGCATTTGAACATTTTATAGCTGGCTGGTGTGAACAAAGAAGAATGAACAACATCTTGGTTCATATCACTAACTACAGTTAGCATGATATTTTAACTAGTGAATACAGAGCACCCATCCCAAATATTTATTTCTAGCATGTATGTATATATGTGTGTGTGTGTGTGTGTGTGTGTGTGTATTTGCTGATGCTTTATTTAAACTAAATTTGTATATCAGTGATTGGATGACCTCTGTATATGCCATATGTTAAATAAATAAATAAGCCTAATATGTAGGTATGATGAAATTGTGTAGTTTAAGACTACAAAAAATCTTGAAATAACAGTGTGACAAAAAAAAATACAGGAATACGCCATGACGACCTATGCTTGACTTTCAAGACACTTCCTATTGCACCTTGCTTGTTCTATTAATTTTTCTTAGTCTTACTGCTGCTAAAAATAAAAAAAGGAATACTGGATCAATTTGAAAACCAAAACAAAATGGACAGAAAATAATCAGTTCAGATTTCTTGTTTACCAGACCAGGTGAATCTACAAACAAAAGTCTTAGAAAAGTTTAACACAAGGAAATTGGAAACAACAAGACTGTTATTGGTGTCTATTTTTAATCAAACTAAAATTAAGTATGATGCTGAAATTCCAACAGTCAAAGGGGAAAAAATGGCAATATTCCTGAAATTACTTACTGTTGAATCGTTTCAATATACTTTGATATTTTGATTGAATATACTTTTACAATTCTTTAACCTCAAGAAAACTATATTTTCTTAGGCACTTAAGATTTGTATTTGGTCTTCTGCCTCCTGAACAAATGGAGATGTCTTTCTAGGGACTATGAATGAGGCAAATGAATGGATATTAGTTTCCATTTTTATTCATTTAAAGATATTGTTAGGTAGATAGATATAAGTAGAGCTTTTCCTTTGTAAATGTATAAAAGGAAGCTTTTGGTTGAATGGTTGGATTCAGGGTATAGGAAATACATTTTTATTGAGCTACATATTTCTGTATATAGTATTCAAGTTCTAATAACTATTTAAATGAGGAAGTGTTTACAAAGAGGAGCTCAAAGTTAATTCATGCATGGTGAAGCGAGGATGTCAATAGTCCTCCTGTATAGACAATGTAGGTATCAAAGGCCCCTATTTTGGGGTTTCCTTTTCCAGAACTGCATTTCTGATATTATCCAGCTAGAATATAGAATGATGTAAATATAAGTATTTCAATCTTACTGTAATACAGCAGCCCCCCCAACCTTTTGGGCATCTGGGATCGGTTCTGTGGAGAGAGGACCAAAGGTGGGCATAATTTTGCATGCTGCCTGCATCCCGCAGATGGGGCATTGCTTGTTTGTTTCTGGCATGCCACAGCCCTGTGCTGGAAGGCCCTGCTATAGTCCATCAAATTCTGTTCTGCCAAGCATCCTATGCATCATTCTGCTTTTATGTATTATTTATATCTAAATATAATCTCTGCAACCAAAGAGTGTCAATAATAGCAAGTAACCTAACCTTATTTTCAATGTCCAAAAGATCTATGTTCAAATATCAATGCGTGGGGGGGGGAAAGGACTGACATATACATGTTAAAGGTTAATGCAGCTTTTTTATGTCTCCCAGAACTGGTACCTCAAGACCCAAATGATTTCAACTACAAGTCCTTCCATGACATCACTTCATTGCATCTATTTTTCCAGTACTCCTTATAAGATGCTGATTATTATAAACATGTGATTCAGCCCAAGCAAAGAAAAGTTTGGATGAGAGCAAAGCATAGAATAATAAACTCTGAAACACTAGATCTGATCTTGGGAGTAACTCCTGTGTGTATAACAAAGCAACTACATGTGAGTAAATGTAGACTACTTCTGTATTTTTACAGTCAGACAAACATCTTGTGATACACGCTGTATCACATCTTAATATTGTACCTAAGCTCAAATAAAGTAGAACCATCAGCTTAGAGATGGTAATAAAACATTACTTTAATAGCATGAACAAATTTTAAGTCAAGTGGCATAAAATAGAAATAAATGAAACAACCTCTTTCTAGAAAAGCAAACATATTAAATCTGTATGAACTGAACAAATGGTATCTTTTGTCATGACATATCTTGATTTGTGATTAGGGAAATCTGAATTAGAGGATGTGGGGGGAGCTATTAAACAGGTGACCTGTTAATTGCAGTCAGATGATGCACATACAAAGGGCAGTGACTTGTATAGTCATCTTGCCATTTTTTTAACATGGCCAAACCGCTGTAGGCGTTTCTTCTGCATTGGTCAAATATATTGATGAAATGTCCATTTGCTGACCGTACTATCATTGCTGACATGGTCAAGAAGAGAAACATCTAATGAAGGATTTCAGGTGCTACATCAGCCGAGAGCCCAGGGAAGGGGTGGGGGTGTGGCCGCTGTTATCCGAGAGTCGTTAGTTCCTCGTAGGGTCCCTGCTCCGGAGATTGTCGGGTGTGAGTCTTTGCTGTTAAAGTTCGACCTCAAGGGTCAAGTGGGTCAGCTGCTAACGTACCTGCATCCCAACTGCGTTGGAGCAGCCCTCCCCG